ATCTATCTATCTATCTATCTATCTATCTATCTATCTATCTATCTATCTATCTATCTATCTAATTTATCCATCAATAAACTCTCTCTAAATTATCTCTATTACCTATCATCTATCATCTAGATATCATCTCTCTGCTATCTATCTATATCTGCTATCTATCCATCCATCCAACTAAAGAATTCCCTTTATTTTCAGTATCTTGGGGTGCGTGCTGATTCCTACGTGGTCGAAACGCAGAGGAGGGCCGGTGTCAGAACGCCCGGCTTTGCAGAAGTAAAAACCCCCCTAAGGAAAGAGAGGCCGGTCGCTCCATCTGAACCCAGCTGGATGCTGCCAGAGAGATCGAACAAGACTAGAACGCTTTAAACCCTCGAAAGGAAAGATGCACATCAATGCAGCCCCAAATGAAGAACCCAACTGAACCTCCAACAGCCCCACTGCCGTTCCCTGGCGTTTCAGCTCGGCTGAAACCCTAAAAAAACAAAACAGGTTCAAACATCTGATGACATTTGGCGTCTGAAATACCTGAACTTCCCGGGTGTGATATGCAATGATCAGCCCCAGTAAAATTGCAGTGGAGAGGCTAATGAGACACTTCAAGGCCAGGGAGAACATTGAACCCTGCGAGGGGGAGAAAAATAGGAGATTAGGTTGTGATCTGATGAATTATATTGTCCCCAAATGGTCTGATCCCCCCCCAACTTCAACCCCTCCAAACTTCAAATCCTATTCTATCCGATTCTATCCTATTCTATAGGGAGTCCTCGTTTAATGACCACAATTGGGACCGGCAACTCGGTTGTTAAGCAAAGCGGTCACTAAGTGAAACCGTGACTGTGCTTATTATCTGACTTCCGCTTTCCTTTGCTTTACAGGCCTGTGAAGATCATAACCGTGAGGACCGGTTGTAAAGTTACTTTTTCATCGCCATCGTAACTGTGAATGGTCGCTAAACGAGGCAGTCACTAATCAAGGACTGTCTGTATTCTCTTCTATCCCACTCCATCCCATTATACCTGCCACAATAATTACAAGCAAAACAGATCTTTCAATAAAACGTCCCAAGTTGGAACTACAACATACAGAGTTCTAAAACCCGCAAACGGGTCAACACCATACGGACCTCTTCACTCGGTTAAGAGTTTCCGGAAGGCCAGGACAAGGCACCCAAGCTAATTTCCAGCAGGGAAATGATTTCATTTCCATAAAATAGGAGGGTTTTTACAGGATTTTTCCAAAGGCAGGGGGGACCGAAGAGGCCGCGAAGGGCAGAAGTTTTGCGTGCCCCGCTTGTTGAGCGTGGCGACCCCCTGCGCCAGAAGCGAATGCAATTTCCATCCATCTTGTCATTGATTAAGTGCGGATCTCCGACAAGGTTTGGAACACGGGGATTTTTTTCGAAAAGAGAATTGGTTTCTTTGTCTAAAGCTATCTGCATTCTCCTTCACTCGCTCTCCACCCCATTAACCCAGACTATTATTTCAGTTATAAAAAGGTGCTTTCTTTTTCTAGAGCGAAACAGGGTTTGGCGATCGTGGGTTAATTTTCTCCCTGCACTGCCCCACGTTCGCTTTGGATGAAATCCCCCCGAAGCCGCATCGGACGTTTTCGGCGTTTCTTCGACCCTTGCCACGCAAGACGTCTCACGAAGAAGGCATTCTTGCCATGCTCAGGGGCTACTCAGGGGCTCCTTCCCCAGAACGGCACCTGTGATGGCTAGCAACGGCCGACGAAAAGCGAACGCTGATTTGAAAATGGCCATTGTTACATTTTTAAAAAACGGCCGGACAGCTAATGAAAAGAGGAACATTTAAAAGCTGTTCTCCGTTCAAGGGGAAGGCCCTCTGGACATGCTCAGGAGCACGGCTTTGGAAAAAGCTCTCGGGCAACCTCCCGCCCTCCCGGCTGCCTCTTTGAACCATCGGACAGTTTGCTGAGACTCAGAGGCCGAACGGGTTTCCAGTAGTGCTTTCCAGAAAACAACTGAGAAGTCCTGCAAAGCAAAGCAAGAAAAGCTGGTAACCATTTGCAAAATCAAATCAAATCAAATCAGGACCAAGGTCTCCTCCAGGAATTGAAAGAACAGTTCTGTGTGCTTCTCGCACGCTGACCATCGATTTCCGCCAGCTAGAAAACAGAAGAATAATATCCCTCTGGAGAGGCAGTTCCCCGTTGACCAAAACAAACCAAAAACATATAAATCTCACTCACGCGCGGACAAAACCCCATTGTTGTGCGGGACCCGCCATCTCCAATTTCTGGCCCAAGTTCTCACGCTCGCGTGTGGGAGGGCCCAATTAGTGACCTTGGTTCAAAGTGAGCAAAATGAACAGAACGAGCGAGGGTAAACAGTCGCGCCACGATGGCATTCCCCCAGCTTCAGATCCACGGGCGGAAACCTGCCCTTTGCCAAACTCGCAGCGGCCAAAAGCAGGGCCGTTCGTCTATTCGCCTGGAAGCGCTTCGGCTCACCCTAGGCGGGCAGGGCACAGAAGAGTTAGGGGAATCGGTTTATTGGGGGGCAGAGGGTCCCATTAAAGCAGCCGAGCTGGATTCTTTGGCCACGTGACCTACAATCCACAAAACGCAGGGCGGGCCAAGATGTTGAGACGTCAAAAGTTGGAGTTGAACCTCAGAGAGCATCTAGTCCAGTGTGGTCCAAACTTGGGCACCTTTAATTTGGTGGGAATTAAATTCCCAAAATGTCTCCACCCAGAGATGTATTGG